ACCTCCTCTCTAACCACAAAAAAAGTGTAAAAATAAATTCACTATCTATTGTTTGTCTTACTAAGTTTACTTGCTGCATCTGGAATATCTACTTGTGTTCCATACCTCCATTCAACAATCTCATAACAATCCAAAGCTCCTGTTTAACAACAAATGAAGTGTAATAATTCACTACATTCTCATGGTTACACTGACTCATTGTGCGAATCTCTTTCTGTGAAAGAAAATGAAAAAAAGAAACAAAGAAAGAATGGTTAGTTTTTAGTGCAAAAATATAGAAGTCTGTATATTGATAAATATTTTGATTGAATGCAAAGAAGAAAACGTGGATTCCATTAAAATTAGGCCAAGCAACCTCGGGAGTTCTGATCAGCTTTTGTTGACTTGAAAAGGGCTAGTGTTTAATAAAGAATGCAAGTGGCTTACAAGTGATCTACAACTAACATATCCATGCATAATAGGTACCCACTTCAGATCCTTCAGTTGCAATGTAAGTGAGTTGAGAAAATCATGCTGGAGTTATAAAAAGGGCCTAACAGAGTACCAAAGTGATGATGTCATAAAAGTGAAATTTGTGAAATTATGGGATTTGTTAAGATATTCTGTGAGAAAAACGTCCAAGATGCCTACTCGCCAAAAATTAGCAATTCGCGGCAATTGTCTCTAAGATATTAGCCCAGTTAAGCTGTGACGATTCCATACAAATCCTTCTAAATTTGGCTTGGTTCATAAGATTAGGAACAAGGTAAGATTTAGAAGGATTTGTATGGAGTCATCAGAGCATAACTGGGCTAATATCTCAGAGACAATCTGCCCCAAATTGCTAATTTTTGGCGAGTAGGCGTCTTGGACGTTGTTCTTTCAGAATATCTTAACAAATCCCATAATTTGACAAATTTCATTTTCTATGACGTCACACTTCGGTACTCTATTGCTTTTTAAAAGGACACATTCATCACCGTCACAGTATTTTAAAGGTTGTTGAGATCCAGAAATTTTGCAACCATGGTAACATGATATCACACTTTTCCTCTCTTTACATGCTATAGTCAAGGTCAAATCATTCCAATCCAGATTTTTCTAATTAATAGTCATATCATTCCACAATATAGTCAGAATTTTTCACAAGCCTTTAAGCCACAAGCAGAAACAAGGATGTTACTCATGTGAACACCTAATTCTTTAAGCCAAGAAGCCGAAAAAGCACACTTCATGTAGAGTTTTACACTGAAACTGCTGAATGATCTGCCTATAAGATGGAACGATCTGACCATGGAATGAAGTGACCTTAAACCTTGATGCCCCACCATGGGAGCAGAGATTTTGACAAATACCCAGTGGGGGTTTGGGGGGTTAGGGGAAGGGGGGGGGGGAGTTGTGGGCCCTCTTGGCATTAAATATATATTTATCTGCAATGATGTCATATTTATCATTTGCTTATGCATTTAGTTATCTCAATACTTTTACCAAACAGGCGAGGCCTTAAAGGCTCCTTTATATAAGTTAGCTCGAATACTAAGCAGGAGCGGTTAATTTAGTATAAGCTTAATCATGACTTTTCATGCGTGGCTATAGCTAGTAAGCTCTAAGCGGAAAATTTTACTTTTCTCGACGAAAACACAGAAAACTAGAACAACGAAAATAACATATTTCTTTATGCTAAATTCAAGCATAAGATTGTTTGCAGCCTTGCAATGCCATTCATACGTCGTAAAAATTAAAAAGCTAGCATACACTATGTACAAGTACTAATAACACTAATGGCCGGCTCGTAATGAAACCAAGTTTACGCAGTTGTCAGAAGCATGTTCTTTGCACTTTAACACTCACCGTTTCTAAATCATTTTGCACGTTTTCAAAACACGAGCTAGCTTACCATCATTTCATCGATGCTTGCTCCACATTTCTCCAAGTCGATTCTCTTCACAGCAACTCGTTCATTACGTGGTATGCAGTTTGCGGCTTGGACAACTGCCGTTGCTCCGTACCCTAAGCGAAAAGAATCATGCTTTAAACATTGCCTTATCTGATCTCGGGAATGAAAATCAAAACTTCAAAACTATACCGATGACTTCTTGAAGCTCATATTCCTCCTTTTTGTTTGGCCATCTTCCTTCGCCGGCAGCCGCCATTTCTGCCTCGCAACAAGAAGACAGTGTTTTACTCTTACGGGGTGGGACTGTCACTGGGTGACTCACTGGGTGGGACAGGAGGTTTTGGCTAAACGAAAAGGTCCTGGGAATGAGTTTGAAGGTAAACGAACAGCTGACGCTAGCACATTCAATGGATCAATGCGCATTGGATCTTATAAGAAAAGTGGTGTTGTTTTGGTGTTGTGTCATACTTCTCTTACATTTGAATAACAAAAACAATGTTTGTAAACAATAATTCTAAATAGAAGGTGCTAATGGGGGTACCCAATTCTCAGTTAACTATAATTTTTTCGGCCAAATACCAGTTAACTGCTATTTTTTTGGCCAATTCTCAGTTAACTGCTATTAACTTTCACCGTTCCTACAGCCAATATTATTCCATCATAACCCGAATTTTTCTTCCTTCAGCAAGTCAATCACTTTTGGGGGTAGGCCATGCTAAAATCAAGGTATAAATTTACATGAACTCTGCCACTAGCACAATTTCTTAAAAGAAAACTGAATACAGGGCTCCCACTACCTCTATCTATGAGGTACTCCTCTTTTTGTATAGTCATTTACCTGTATATTATTCTATCTAGTATTAATAATTGTAGTTAATTATTAACCACTTATGTGAATTTTAAATTCAAATTTTAGGAGCCGTTAAAAGATATTTTCTCTCGGTATAGTTCTGGCCCTGAGGAAGGGTAATTTTGTTAGCCGAAATATTGGTCTATATAATAATAAATCAGCCCTTTGCCGTAGTGCCAGCCTTAACTTCAGTTTTGTTTTACTTCACACTTTAAGTGACGTCTAGCTACAGCATCTCTTTGATTAGAGATCCGGCAGGAGGAACCAGTCAGTTATATCTACGCGTTGCATGGACCTCTGCTTTCAAACAGTTTTAACAATTTATTAGTAACTTAAAATTTAAGTCGTATAACCATCAGTATACACCAGGCTCGTAGATCCAGACGCGCCAGTCATGATCTCGTATTGATTTTCCCGATATGGTCATGCATGTCGTCCTGCAATAAACTACTTCAAAGTCACCTTCTTCGGCACTTTCATTATCTGAACGGAATCAGTCTTCTATGTATCTGGTTGCTGTATGTCCTGTAAGTTGTATGCCATGGTATCTTGTTGACTGTATGCTTCTGACGGTTGGCCTGAGTTTCAATCCATTTATGATGGCTTGCAATCCATTGCCACAGACGACGAGAAACATTATCAGAGCCAAAATATAGTCTTAAGTGAAAAAAAAAAACTGGACCATTATTTTTGGAATTCAATTGGTAAATTCAATCACTGTTTGCACCGATGGGAGATCGAGACATAGTTGAGAGTGCTGACAAAGGCATGAAAGTATTTGACACGGGACAATTCGACTTTTCGTGAGTGTAACTTACTTCGTACTCGTAGTTCTTTTTAGCGATTCCTTTACTGTGGTTCCAAAGTGTTGGGCGTATTTCAAAGCACTAAACGTTTTGTGTTGAAGTGAGAAACCTCATGTAGGTTGTCCACCTGCGTTGTCAGAAGTTGTTTGTACCTCGATACAGATTTTGCCGACATCCTCTTTCGCGTCCCTCAATGTTACCTTTTTCGCAGACGTACTATTTTCGCTCATAGTTCAAAAGCTTCACAAAGATATCCAAGGGTTTTAAGAAATGAAACTGCCGAAACTATTTTAGAAAGACAAAGCTCGTGTTTTAACCGGCCTTTCTATTAAAAAAGTCTCAATAGTTAGAACTCCAACATCAGTTACAAAAATGATTTCTCGTAAGTACAAATTTCATGTAATTAAAAGAAACATTGCTGATTTCTTTGAACCCTCAGAAATTCTTTTTGGCCAGATCCAATTCTAAGAGTCACAGCTTTTTTATTTGGATAGTAATCTTTTACTTGACGATCTTTTGAGTCCGTGAAAACAGTATTTTCCTTTTCGAACACAGTAATCTTGTTAATATTAAAAGATGAATTATATGTTGAGTTTTCTACAACCAGCTCTTAGACTGACGCTTTCTGTTTGTCGGGTAATGCCCTGGTGTCTTTCACAAATAGTAGTATCAGTTAATGTGCAACCGGGTCATCAGAGGGACAGAAAAATATCAGAAAATAGCATTTCTGCTTGCAAAACTTTGTTGCGTTCATTGACATTAATATAATATCACTTAACTGCTAACTTTTCATTTATCTGTAAACTACTATCTTTTTGGCCAATTATCAGTTAACTACTATTTTTTTTTTGCCAAATATCAGTTAACTGTTAACCCCATTCCCACCCTCTAAATAGTGAGTATCACTATAACCCAAACCATAACCCTAAAAATGGTTTTTGACCTTTTAATGACGTTTACTTTTCATTCTTGGTATCTCACACTTTGAGTGCGCTCAAAGACAAAGCGGAGCTTCCATTCTACGCGGGAAAAATGGATTCTTTAATTTATCTAAAAATAACTACTCCATGAAAACGCCATGACATAGGCCTAGTGTGAGAGTTGCTCGCTCCGGATTATGGTTACACGTTTGGGCGTCACGTAACTGTCTGCTGGAAGAAAGTAAGTGTTTATCAGCGAGTATACCTGCATCGCGCGGGCAAAGAGCGGGCACGAGTGGAGACGAAGGAGGCGTGTCGGAGGCTTGTCGGTTGTCGGAAGCATGTGGACTGTTTAAATGTGGACTGGTGGACCGGCTCGCGCGCACTCTCGTCCCCAGAATTCTCTCTCTTGCTTTCTTAAGGCACGAGAGAGAACCCTGGGAACAAGGTTGCTTGCTGGCCCGTTTGCTTGAATACAAGGTAGTCAATTATGACGCAATAGAGCTTGTTGCAGCCATTAACCGGTTCGTGGTTTATTAGGGTTCACAATGCGCTTTGAAGTTCTCCTGCAGTCAGCCGCTCTCAAGAACTTGCGACAGAAGCTTTCGCAAGTATCTTTTTCTGCTGGTATGTATTTTCACCTTTCTTCCGATTCCCTTGAAACACTCATTAGTTTAACGGTACAATGAAGCTCGAGCTTGGTCAACAATCCATAATTTAAATCATTTACTTGTGCCACGTTCAGTATTACGTCAAACAAGTGTTCGCTGACTATGGGCAACCGCCAATTCCAACGGACAAAGGCACCACTACCCTTCGACAATCGCGAGACTGGATTTTTTAATCATAACTATATAAACATTTTCAAATCTGATTGGCTATTGGCCCTGATTGCCGCATTTAATAGGGCAATGCAATAGGACAGTACGCGTCATTCCTAAGTAACCGAACAATACGCGCCGATCTGCGCGCGCACTTGAACGCTTTTCTTTGTTAGTTAGTTTGTTTTTTCACTTCTTCCAAAATACTCTCAGAATATCTTTACTGGATTCAATTTAAAAAATTAAAATATTACAAATTTTGTTATAGTTAAGATACATGGTTAACTGACCCTTTGTGTTGCCCAATAGGATACATCACTGTTTACAAACATTGTTGTTATTATTCAAATTCATAACCAGTGAAACAAAAAGATCTTTTGTTATAACAACCAGTATTGGTTGGCACATTAATATCAATAAGTGAGGTCAGCGTGAGTATCAATAATCGCTCCGTAATCATAACATCTTTATCAAAAGATCAGGCCCCAGTTGTTCAAAAAGAAATAGCGCTATCCACCGGATAAATCGCTATCGAGTGGATAGTGCAATTGGTTTCCCTAATATTTATCCACTAGATAGTGATTTATCCGGTGGATAACGCTATCCAGCGTTTGAACAACCCGGGCCTGAAAAAAAAAAAGGAAAACAAACCTGGTGGACTCGTGGATAACCTAATTATAATCGATGAAGCTCTCCTTTGGGACTAGGGAATATCACAAAAAATAGATTTTCCACACTTGATATCATGTAAAGCTGCAGCGTCCATTTCTTTAGTACTGGCAATTTAACGCGTGCATAAACCAGAATCCGGGAAGTTTTTGCTTGTTGAATCCCAAATCCAGGGATTTGGAATCCAGTGATCAACTCAGGAATCCGGAATCCACAATATAGATTCCATCATCCAAAACTGCCTTCATACTGGATAAACAATCTCGTCGTTGCCTCTACAGGTTTTTCATCTCACTTCACTCTGGCACATTTGTTCGTATCTTCTGCTTTCTACTTATCTTTGTTACTGGCTTTAGCTGTCTGTGCTTTTCTTGTCCGAATTATTGGAGCCACACCCCAACCGCAACCAATATCAAGAGAAAAACCAAAACCCGTCAAGTAAGTAAGGGCACAATTTCATCATCTAATATATTGTATATCAGAAAATATCCTGATTTATGAAACGAAGTGATAACAGTGAAAAAAGACTTCTCTGTCTGTTTTTTTTTTCCTCTTTCGATTCTTCTCTTTCTCTCAACTTTTACCTTTTTTAAAAGAGTTTTTTTCAGGCCCCCAATTAAACCTAATTATTTGAAAATCTGAATGAGTCACTGTGCTTATATGGCCAACCTTGAAATAATTAACTCTCAGTACTACGATAAACTGCAACTTCTTTCTTTTCTTTAATCTCAACAATTAAGTTAATCAAGTCCATCAATATCTCTTTTTCACAGATCTTCACCATCGCAAAAAACATCACTCAGGACGATCATCGATCGCGATGTTTTTCAAAAGCAACTCAAAAATAAAAGTGACATTCCATCAGAATTTCTAGACAAGGAAAAGCCCAATTTAAGTTTGACAAAATCCACAGTGGAACAACCACTCTGTGGTACAGCCACACCCAGACTACATGTGGACATACCGTCCACAGAGACACAAAAACAAAGAAATTCGATGATATCGCCTTTGACAATGTTTCTTTTGGAAGATTCTCACAAGCATCACAAAAGCATCAGGGAAACCACATGGAGAAAGAGAGAGAACGAAAACAAAGAAGAAGAACATAATTGTAAAACCCGAAAGCTTGATTAAAGATTCTTTTCTCCCTTCCTCCCATAAAGAAAAAAAAGT